TGTGCATGTGCACAGTGACTGACACTGCGCATGCGCGTCGTTTTGAACGCACGCCGAACGAGATTTTAAATTGCGTATTTGCGAAACTTGTGTTGACGTAAGCTGCGATTCTTCAATGATCTCAAGAATGTTCTTAACTCTCAACGTCACCTAAAATTCTCACTCTGAACCTATAATTTTGTATAATTTCTACACACGCAGGTACATCTGCTGATACATTCAATAAAAGCAGTGTTTTCTTTTTCGTTGACATTTTCGCAGATTCTTCGATGCTCACTTAGCATCGAGCGTGACACAATTTTCTGTCACGTTTGAAGATAATGGCGCACGTAACTGCGTATTTTGCAGCTCGGGACTACACAAAACCTGCGATTGACTGTCGCATCGCCGAGCTGTTGAAAAGAAGAGTTGCTTTGGAGAAAATACCCACCGAAAGTTTGAAAGAGCGACTCGTGCGTAATGCATAGAATTGTAGTGAATTGAATATCAGAATCATTTAGCGGACTGTCTCATTTAAATCTTATTACATATATATGTACAGGCGAAATTTAAAGAGAATCGAAACGCTAGACAAGGATTGCTCAAGGCAACGCACAGACAGGTCTTGGAAGTTGCTGCCTTTATTTTAAATATAGATCCTGATACCTTGGAAGAAGGAGTTATTGATAGAGACGAATACATCAGTGTTCTTGATAGTTTCTTTGTCAAAGATGGGAAACGTGCGATTCTTATACACTATCAGCCAATGGAACCACCTCCGTTTGGTATCATAAATTTTTCTCTTGTGTTTGTATACTTCTTTGAATTTTGAACGTATGATCAATGTAGTCGATATCTTAAACGTATGAAAAATAGAGTCAGGAAGATGGATCCCGCAATATGAAGAAGAAATTGAAGTAATACGTTGCTGTGTCACTGATGGTTCTACGGAACAACTTTCTGGCAAATGTGTTATAGTTTATAGACTAAAATCAGACACTGATTTAGAAACAAAGCATCTTCAAGATGTATGTCTTTAGTACGTCTATCTAAACTAATTTTCTGTAATACAATAATATGATAGTGAAACTTTAAACAGGAAGCATATTATGCATATGCAGAAGTTGATCCAGTATCTCAAAGCGCACTTGCAGCCATATCAGATGTAATTCTGAGGCTAAACTTGCCAGCAATAATTGCTAACAAAGTATGGGGTGAACTGTCAAAATCTGAAGCCGGTGACAAAGTCACAAACAACTTTATTTGTGACTTTAGAGACTTTTGTGAATTTTTAAGCAGTGAGATAATCATTTAAGACCAAGGTAGTCACACGTGTACGATGAAGCTATTATTTTTATAATTCTTTTAGTGACAAAGCTAGACTTAGAGAACATAATAAGATTTTATACTGATTGGGAGGTTTATAACAAGTACTTAGCATCACCAGAGGACAATAAGAAAAGTCTTAGTAATCCAGAAGCTATAGAAGCTATAGAAAGTAATGTCAGGCTATGGAAGAAAAGTATGGAACGGGTAAAGTCTATGAATGTTGAGTTTTATTTCAATTAATTAAAAAATTATCTACATTTGGACGTACAGGCTGTTGTTCAGAGTCAACAATTACGCAGAGAGACAGAAACAATGGGACCAAATGCAGAACTCGCTTATTGGAGAAGATTGCTTGCTCGTTTCTCATCAATTATTGAACACATTAAATCCCCATTTACTCAGAAATATATAGATTTTTTGACAAAAATAAAATCGAAACACATAAAAGTATGTGTATTGTAAGATATCTTCTTCCTTATCTAAATTAATTATTTATATTAATTATTATTAATTATTCACTTGTAGAAATGGAGGTTGCTGGAACGTCACGTTCAAATGATCCAAATTCTCGCACAAGATAATGTAAAATATTTATACGCGCTAGAGAAATTTACTCAACCTTTGTACAGGCTTGATCCAACAAAAATAGGAGAATATTTGCCTCCTCTCATGTACGTTATACGAATGATATACGCCACTTCCCGATTTTTTAATACCAGACGAATGGTCACAGCGGTGTTTGTAAAAGTATTACCGTCAAAACATGATAAAACTTAAGAGGCTTATCTCGCATTTATATACTATACAAAAAAAAAAAAATATCAATAATCTGATTGTCAATTTTCCAGATGACGAATCAAATGATTTTAGCATGCAAAGCATATTTAACGGAGGATGGTAAAATAAATATTTGGGACGAGGCCAAATCAGTTATGATATCTAAAATAAAGGCAAATATCAATTAAACAGAATTCTGAGTAAATCCGATTTATTATAAAATTTTCTGTATCTAGGATTGCATTAAATTATGCGAACAGTATTACGAATATTATACCGAAATGTGCAAAAGTGTAAGGGAATCTGCCGATGAAAAACCTTTCGAGGTATCTGAAATGTACGTTTTCGGCAAGTCTAATACTTTCAAAGCGAGAATAATAAAAGTCAGTGGTAAATTAATTTCATTAAATCACTCCCCTTACCCCCTGAAAATGAGGAAATCACTAAAAATAAATTACAAATACAAATTTCAGATTATGGATGTTTTACAAACAACGTTAACATATCTGATTCTTTACAATTCTGCAATAGAGGGGATAGATGTGTTTGCCAACAGATTCTCCGGTTTCTTTCAGGACGTTTCGTCCAAAGACTATGACCCATTAAATCATAGGAAGCCATATTTTGATTCTGATTACGACAACTATAAGAGAAATGTAGCCGAGACGGAAATCGAATTAAGAAACTTCTTTTACAAATGCGTCTCGGAAGTGCCAAACATAACAGAAGCATTGAGGGTAGTAGCAAGGTATTAATTTAACGTTTAATAACAGGAGAATTGAAAATCTTTGATCAATTCTTAACGTGCAAAGAATACAGAAATTTTGCCAATCGATTTGTACAGATTTCAAAAATTGAAGTTCAAACATCTGAGAATCGACAGGAAGTACTTAGAGCTCATTACGCTATTCCAAAAAGAAATCGAGGATGTACGAGATAGATATAACGAGGATAGATCGGATCCTCCGATACCGCGGAATGTTCCACCTATTGCTGGCCGTATTTTATGGATCCGGCAACTTTTCAGGCGTGTCGAAACTCCGATGGAAATATACAAAGGATGCAGGAGAGTGATTACTCACGACCACATGCAGAGATGCATTAGAATTTACAACGCCTTGATCAGTGTCTTTATACATTATGAAATGATATATCACAAAGCATGGTACGATTGTTCAGAGATTGTGAGTACAAGATGAGAGCACTGGCTATGAATTTCCACGCGTTTAAAATACGAAATACCATGTATATTTGATGTAGGTTCGACTGGCGTTAGCATCACCTTTGATAATAAGGCACCCAGATACGAACAAGTATCATCTGAACTTCGATTCGTACGTTATCGAGGTGATACGCGAATCAGAGCATATGGCTAGGTTTGACTTGGAGGTGCCAGATTTCATACAGATAATAACCTTCTGTAAAGAGAAGATTTTCTCATCGTATGAGATCGTGAAGCAATTGGTCGACGA